TTTGTGCCAGGGATTGAATCCAGGGTGCTTACCCACTGAGCCACATCCCCATCCCTTTTTATATTTTATTTAGAGACAAGAGTCTCACTGAGTTGCTAAGTGCCTCGCTAATCTGCTGAGCCTGGTTTTGAACTCAAGATGCTCTGCCTTAGCCTCCCAAATTGCTGGGATTACAGGCATACGCACTCTAGCTAAAATTTCAATTTTCTTTATATTTATTGTCTATTTCCTTAATAAGCTTCATGAGGTTAGAAACTTTCTCTCTCTAAACTCAAAGGGCCCTCAGAGATCTAAAAACTTTCTTTCATAAATAAAGGAAAAAAATCTTAGAGAAGTGACTTGTGCAAGACACAGCTAGCTTGCACCAGGGCCCAGCAGAACTTAAGCCCAGGTCTCCTTATTCTGGAATCCAAGAGGTTCTTAGCCTAGGTGTAACTCTAGGTGTTCTAAGCCACTTGAAGTTGTTTATAAAATTATGAGTGTATATTTTTCTAGAGAAAGCACTGGTAGACATTATCAGCTTATTGAAGATAACCATACCCCCAAACATAAGAATCACTACTCTACTGAAGAAATGCCCCTAGGTGTGGATTGGTTATAATGGATTTTCCTGTTGCTTTCTCCAGTTAAATTATTTAATAATTATATATTGCATAATTATTTACACTTTAGTTATTCCATCTACCATTACCTTAATTCAATTCTTATCACCTAGTGTCCCTCATCCAATCCACTCTAAAGAATCCCAGGAGATTCATCTTTCTAAAGCACAGTTCTGGTCATTTCGTTCCATGATCAAAATCTTTATGTAATGGCTCACCACTACCTACAGAATAAAGACAAGGCTTCTTTGCGTAATATTCAAGGATTTCTATGACCTGGCCTACTTTTCTACCCTTTTCTCTGAGCTTCAATTTCCTTATCTATGAAAATGCAGATGATAATATCAGTATCTATACCTCAGGGCTGTTATAAAGATGAAATAAGTTAAAAGAATGCGGAATAGTGCTTGGTATGCAGAAAGCAGGATATATGCATTTACTGCTGTAGCTATTGTTCTTCTTATTATAATTTTCCAGTTAAGCTGTACTAATCATTCATGCTTGATGATTTTATTTTTAAACCATTAAATTCCCCATTTGTTCAACTCCCTCTATTCACTCTTCTCCATTCACCACTGACTAGAACAGGCTAAGATGCTCCAACTGTAGGGTCTCCCCACTGACTATCTACACTGCCTCAAAAGCTCTTTCCTACAATGTATCTACGCAGACAACTCCTAATTAGCTTCAAATGTCACATTCTTAATAAGGCCTCCCCTGACTGCCCAATTAAAATCAAAAAGCACCTCATCAAACCCTGTGGTTTTCTGAAGCACTCAATACCTTATGATATAATTTAGGCACTCAATAAATATTTGTTAAATAAATGGTAGTTTTTCCTAAGTTCATAAATGAATGAATGAACGAACAAATAACATATCTTGAGCACTGGATCTGTTTTAGTTCCTCATAATTTTCATTGGTCTTTTTCTTTTTCTTTCTTTTTCGGGGTGGGATGGGGTGGGGTGGGGATGGGGGATTAACTCAGAGGTACTCAACCACTGAGCCACATCTCCAGCCCTATTTTGTATTTAGAGATAGGGTCTCACTGAGTTGCTAAGTGCCTCACTTTTGCTGAGGCTGGCTTTGAACAAATGATCCTCCTACTCAGCCTCCTGAGAGTCTGGGATTATAGGCATGTGCCACCATGCTGAGGTTGGTTTTTGTTCTTTTCGGAGGGAAATTAACTGGTTTCTCAGCTGCTTATCTCTCTCCCCTCCCTAATTTAGTTTCTCATGTTTTGTTTTGCTTTTTTGTGGTACAGGGGATTGAACTCAGGTAGACTGTGTTTTATTACTGAACTATATCCCCAGTCCTTTTTATTAGATTTTAAGACAGGGTCTCGCTAAGTTACTTAGCTCACCTCAACTTGCTATCTCTAATTTCAGCCTCTCCTGCTTTAGCTTCCCAAGTAACTAGGATTAAATGTGTGCACCATGGTACACCAGCTTTAATTTTTTTTTTAAAAAAACTACAACCAGAGTTAACATTAAAAGGAAAAAATAAAAGACTAAAAAAGAGACACAAAAAGAAAATGAGAAAAGGTCCTTTGATTCATCTTCTAAATTATATTTTAAATCTATCTACTTCTATCTCTATTGCTACCATTATGGTCTAAATCATCATCATCTCTCACATGAACTGTGGCAATATTCTTAACTGGTTTTACCACTGGCCACCTTCTAATCCATTCCACAACCTACAACTAATACACAATTATAAAAACTCAAATTTGATTATGTCACTCCTCTGATTAAAATCCTTCACCAGCTTCCCAGTGAACTTAAAATATAATTTAAATTTACCAAGGCTATCAACCACTACCCCCCTTCCCACACGTTCTACTTCCTTTCAGTCTAATCAGCTGCTCAGACTCTCATCACTCTTCTATCACTCTTCCTATCTTGATCACTATTAGCTACTCTAATGTGGCAAACTCCCTCTCACCATAGGGCCCTTGTGGAAGCTATTTCTCTAGCAAAAAATAATCTCTTCTACATCCTTTTGTCTTGCTATTCCTATTCAGACTTCAAGGTTCAACACAAATATCACTTCCCCCTCTAAGACCTTCCTGCACTCTGATCTGGACCTAAATCAGACTTCTCTGTCCCTCCAGTCTCAGCACCCTCAACTTTTCTTTCATTACATGAGTGTACATGCATGCACACATACAGCGATAATTTGTTATGTAATTGTTAAGAGCCACACTCTGAAACCAAATTGTTTAAATCCTACTTCACTTCACTTCACGGAAACTCAGTTTTCAAACTTATAACAGGATGGTTGAAAGAATAAACTAATGTATCTCAATTATCTTATACATATTGAACATATACAGGTATCTGACACATTACAGGAGGAATGGGGAATGGTTAAGGATTATTTTGTTAAAGAGGAGGTTTTTGAGATGAATCTTGAATGAGAAGGAGACTAATGGAGGAAAGGACATTGCACACTTAGGAAACAACCTAACATGATGAGGGAAAGGTGGTAAGTTAAGCCTGGCTGGAGCATAGGAAGTAAAGGGAAAAGTAGTAGGAATTGAACATAAAGTAAAGGGAAAAGTCAAATTGAAATCAGTAACCTGGAATTTAAACCCTGATCTTCTGTTTCCAAATTCATGCTTTTCCATGGGTAGCTAAACAAAAGTCACATTGTAATACCTTACTAATGGCTGGCAATCTAAAAAATTGCCTAAGAATGCTGAGTACTTGTCCCTCCTCTGTAGCTTGCCCATTTGTGCCATTATATAATTTCATCATCTAAAAGCATCATTAATTATACTTATAAACAAATAATCCTATGGACATCCTTCAGGGCCTTAAATCTAGAATAATCAAACTTATAGCATATATCATATATAAATATAAATAAAAGCAACAAAATTAAAACGTTAATTCACTTAATAGAATTACTCATATAAGTTAATAAAGGAAAGAAAGAAAATGGATGATCCCAAATATGAAAATCCAAGTCTTACAGATCTAGATTTGTTTTTGGTTTCTAACTAAAGTAAATTTTCACTTACATTATCTGAATAAACTGACAGTGGAAAAAGCTACCCCAATGCAAAAATAGGATTTGAATTTTAAAAATTATGTTGGATCATATACAAAGTAATAATTTAAATGAAGAACTTACTATACTATACACAAAGTATCTTCCTGATCACCTTACATGTTCCAAATCATCCTAACAATAAGCATTACATTTTAGTTTCTTCTTTCTCACCCTTGACTGCTTACCTTCCAGGAGATCACGGGCCAACCCTGGCTCTGCTCCTGTGGAACGGACAAAATCCGACAGGACAGCATCCATGTCCAGGGTCATGTGATCATCAAGTACTTTCAGGCAGCTGGATGAAGGCAGTGCATAGATCAAAATTCAGGCCTCCACCTGAGAAGGAATTAAATAAAAAAGGCTCAAATTATACTGGAAAAGGATGATCACAGCCCCCATTTTAGCAGCTTTTTTGGGGGAGGGGAGTACTGGGAATTGAACTTGGGGGCACTCAACCACTGATCCACATCCCCAGCCTATTTTGTATTTTATTTAGAGACAGGTCTCACTGAGTTGCTTGGCGCCTCACTTTTGCAGATGCTGGTTTGAACTCACGATCCTTCTGTCTCAGCCTCCCGAGCTGCTGGGATTATAGGCGTGTGCCACCGAGCCCAGCTATTTAGCAGCTTCTTAACCAACTGGGGAAAATAACTATCCTAGCTCATAGATTTCAGCTAAATTTTAAAACAAAGCAGCTTCAATTTTATTTTGAAGAATAACATTTTATTTCCTAATTCTTTACTAACAGTCTTCATTCCTACATTAACCACAAACCACTTTTACTAGAGCTTTTCCTCTACTTTTCTAGAGTATTACATTTCTTTGATGAGTCTACTTATTCAAACTAAAGAGGGAAGCAGCAGACTACCACCCTCAAGAACTCTCCTCTTCAGGCTGCAGCTGTAGCTCAGTGGTAGAGCACTTGCCTAGCATGTATGAGGCAGAGTTTGATCTTCAGTACCGCATAAAAATAAATAAAGTATCGTGTCCATCTACAACAACAACACAAAAGAACTTTCTACTTATAATGCTCTCTAACATGACACCTTGTTCATTTCCTTCCTGGTACTTGATATACCCTGAAATTATTTTAATCACTTGCTGTCTAACCATGCCTTTTAATATAGAAGTTTCCTGAAAGCAGGGAATTTGTGTGTCTTGTTCACTACCGTGAACAGCACATATCACTTGATATTTAGCATGGAGCTTGGCACACAAGACCTCAGTAAATATTTACTGAACGAATAAATGAATGAATACTATACATTGGATAATTTTAGGTTCACTACTATACTTACGGAAATGAGAGGTATTTAATAAAGTGATTGCCAAAACAATAAGATATTCCAAAAATCCAAGTGGGGATTTCAAAAAAAAAGTCCATAACAAAAGTCAATCTTTGTCTACTAACTTCATAATCCAGAAAACATGCCTACCACAAACATGTCTTCCTCTACCCAGAACAAATACTGTCAAGTATGTTCCCTGAAAAAGATCTCTTCTTTCAGTTTTGACTTTAGCAGAAACTGTCTATGACCTGAGAGCCTGGCACCAACTCAACATTTCTCTGAGGTTAACAGTACCAGCTAAGGGAGCAATAACAGAGTGAAGAACAACCTCTGACCAATTCTGGTAGGTTTATAGCGTTCTGTATTAGAGGATTCATTCATAAAGTCTCCAGATACCACAAGACAGTTTACCCACCAATCCCGTCTTTTAGGGAAGGCCAAAAGCAGAATCTTTGATAGCAATATGTGTCTCAAATGATTGTTCAAAATCATTTCCTCCTAAAAGTCTAAAGTCTAAGGATGACTCCCAGATACTTTTTCTTCATGCCTCCCCACATCCCAGAACACAGCTTGTTTAGTGGTGTGATCAGACCTGATTTTCTGTTTTCCTTAGAAATATTAAGGCAAATAAACAGCAAAGATTTGTGAGTTAAAAAACAGTAGGGGGACTGGGGTTGTGCTCAGCGGTAGAGCACTCACCTAGCACCTGCGAGGCGCTGGGTTCAATCCTCAACAACCACATAAAAATAAATAAATAAAATAAAGTAAAAAAAAAGGAAAGAAAGAAAGAAAGAAAGAAATACCTAGTCTTTAAAAAAAAAATAAGAAAAGAAAAACAGTAGGTTGCTGGGCACAGTGGTGCACACCTACACAATCCCAGTGGCTCAGGAGGCTGAGGCAGGAGGACAGCAAGTTCAAGGCCAGCCTCAGCAACTTAGTAAAGCCCTAAGCAACTCAGCAAGACCCTGTCTCTAGATAAAATATGAAAAAGGGCTGGGGATATGACTCACT